GAAGGGCACTCGGCCAAAGAGATAACACGGGCTGATGGCTTCCACCACACACTCACAGAAGCCATCAAGCTATATCCCTTGGACGCAGATGCTACCAAGCTTACCTGAAACACTGTTGCCTACTTGTGATGAGTTCACGACAGTGCACGCCCCCATATGGCAGGTCACAGCTGATAACTGTCAACCAGTGGGTAGGGCTCCTCCCTTGCCCTTCAGCCAACATACCTTGACGTCACCTTGACGTCACCTCATCCTCGGCCTCAGATTAGCACAGAAAACGAGCCTCCATGGTTGGACTGACCATATACCATATACGAAGTTAATACAAATTACTTACCATTTTCATAAGATTTTCCATGTCTGGTTACAGTAGCTCATAAGAATGAGCAGATGAGCAAACTCTTGCCTACTGTTACCAACTCTCTTCATCATATATTTCTGTTTCAACAAATTTCCAACCATTTCAGCTGTATAGCCCTTGTGGCTTAGCGCTTCTTTTTGATTATAATATTAAATCCAAGCATTTCATAACATTAACGTCTGTTGTGCAAGGCCCAGTCATCTAACCGATATCTGAGTCTACCCAGTGTTTTACCTTCAATGACCCTACTAGGCAGACTGTTCCACAAATAGACTACTCTTTTTTTTACAAACTAGTACTTTCCTATATCCTTTCTTAATCTACACGTATTCGATTTAAATCCGTTATTTTGGGTTCTTCCTTGAAGGGATATCCTCAGATCCTTATTTATATCCCTTTTGTTAATACCCATCGTCCACTTATACACTTCGATCATGTCTCCCTCATTCTTCGTCTTACAAGAGAATGTAAGTTAAGAAATTTCAATCTTTGTATGGAAGATTTCTTATGAAATGGATTAATTTTATTGTTCATTGAATGTTCTGTAACGAATTTATATCCGTTCTGTATCATGGAGACCAGAACTGAGCTGCGTAATCTAAGTTAAACCTTACTAATGATGTATATAATCACTCTTGTTGCTTACACTTCTTGATAAAAATCCCAGTAATCTTTTTGCCTCATTACCAACAACTAAAAGTAGATAAGCGACGTAGAAACCTCTTGATCATAGTAGCCATCTACACGAGAGGCTTATCGCAGGTAAGCCTCTAATAAGGAGTATAAAAACAAGCTTCCTTTACATACTTTCCTAAAAAAAAAATTTATGGTGCATTTCACCCTATAATCTTGTATGTTTTATGGAAAAAAAATCTTTAAAATCTTACAAGGCTCTATATAGTCTCTTAGAGTTTTACGCAGTATATATATATATGCAAAACAACCACTCTGAAAGAATAGAGAAATTCCAAGCGCTTTCGTGACTACTCACATTATCAAGGAACTATGAAAGTAAAGCATCCAAGGAAGCTATATAAGGGGTCTGGCCAACACCTCACTATCAGATCCCACAACGGTTAAACACCTGATGCGCGCCGGCCCAACTGGACAGGTCCTTTGCACAACCACCAACAAACTATTCTACCCAAGAAAATTTTTAAAATTATTATTTGTCCAGTGTATTATTAAATTCTTTCCAAATTCTATTAATTATAAATGGATCTAATTTATATAAACCAAAGGAAATATTCATATTATTGTCAAAACTGCTTTTTATGAAACAAGATTCAATTATATTCCTGTCGACCATGGACTTGCTTGATACTACTTTCTCAACTTTTTGAAAATCAATTGGATGGTTAAAATCTCTTACATGAATAAATAGAGCATTGGAATCTTGTCCAGTTCTAATGCTATATTTATGTTGTTTTAATCTTAGTTCGAGATTTTTACCAGTTTGACCGTAATAAACTTTATCGCAAATTTTACAAGGAATCTTATAGACACATCCATCAGCATTTTGGGGGGAATTATTTATGAAAAGTTTTTTTACTGTATCAAGATTTTTGAATACAACTTTAATATTAAAAGTCTTAAGAAGAGAAGGCATATCAACCAAGTTTTCATGGTAAGGGAGAACCAACATATTTTTAGTTGAATAAGGCTGGTTGTCCCTTTTTGGATTGTAAAAAGTATTTCTAGCAACTTTAAAAGATTTATCAATTACATTTCTTGGGTATTTTAAATCATTACCTATTTCATAAATTTTGGATATTTCCTCATCTATGAACTCTGGACTACAAATTCGTAAAGCTCTCAAGAACATTGATGAGAAAACAGACAGTTTGACTCTGTCTTGATGCGAGGAATAATAGTGGACATAGGAACAGTTATTTGTAGGTTTTCTGTAAATTTTAAATTTGAATTCATTATTACCCTTAATAATTAAAACATCTAGAAAAGGCAATGAGTTATTTTCTTCAAACTCAACAGTAAAGTTTAAAGAATGGGCTAAGCTATTTAATTTTCCAAGGAAATGGTGTATATCTTCATGCTCTACTTATTCATGTAAGAGATTTTAACCATCCAATTGATTTTCAAAAAGTTGAGAAAGTTGTATCAAGCAAGTCCATGGTCGACAGGAATATAATTGAATCTTGTTTCATAAAAAGCAGTTTTGACAATAATATGAATATTTCCTTTGGTTTATATAAATTAGATCCATTTATAATTAAAATGGTATAAAATACCGACAGGTTGTTTAGGTAAGACACATATGCAACAGTTAGGTATCTTTATTTCGAAACGTTTCGCCTACACAGTAGGCTTCTTCAGTCGAGTACAGAAAAGTTGATAGAAGCAGAAGAGACTTGAAGACGATGTAATCAGTCCATCACCCTTAAAGTTTTGAGGTGGTCAGTCCCTCAGTCTGGAGAAGAGTATTGTTCCATTGTCTGAAATAATATAGAGTTGAAGTGATAGGATGGAGCCTTATATAGCGCCAGGAGGATTTGAGAGGGACCTGACCTCTCAGTGTCTACATTCTTACTCTACTAGTGACCTACGTCTCACCTCCTGGCGCTATATAAGGCTCCATCCTATCACTTCAACTCCAGATTATTCCAGACAATGGAACAATACTCTTCTCCAGACTGAGGGACTGACCACCACAAAACTTCAAGGGTGATGGACTGATTACATCGTCTTCAAGTCTCTTCTGCTTCTATCAACTTTGCTGTACTCGACTGAAGAAGCCTACTGTGTAGGCGAAACGTTTCGAAATAAAGATACCTAACTGTTGCATATGTGTCTTACCTAAACAACATTTATAATTAATAGAATTTGGGAAGAATTTAATAATACACTGGACAAATAATAATTTTTAAAATTTTCTTGGGTAGAATAGTTTGTTGGTGAGTTGTGCAAAGGACCTGTCCAGTTGGGCCGGCGCGCATCAGGTGTTTAACCGTTGTGGGATCTGATAGTGAGGTGCTGGCCAGACCCCTTATATAGCTTCCTTGGATGCTTTACTTTCATAGTTCCTTGATAATGTGAGTAGTCACGAAAGCGCTTGGAATTTCTCTATTCTTTCAGAGTGGTTGTTTTGCATATTCTGAAATCACCTGTTTACTGTGATCTTATTGCATATATATATATATATATATATATATATATATATATATATATATATATATATATATATATATATATATATATATATATATATATATACGCATTCGTTTGCGTATACTTTGAAAGCAAATGCATGTGTAGACATCACATATGTATCAGACTTCACTTCACTTCCCATATCCAAAAAGACGGACGCCTGGCATCATCAACACTATTTTGTTTAATACTTCCTGGTAAGACAGTCCTCTGGACAGGCTCATCATTCTGCCAAGAAGTGAAAGCCAGAGATCTTTCTCAAACAGACTTAGAGATGTTATAATTAAGGACCTGCAAGACAGACTGAAACTAATGAGAAAGTGTCTCCGATTCCAATTCATAAATATGAGTAAGTTCATGTGAGGAGATGCCAAGAAATATTGACATACGTTTCTCTGAACACATTTGACCAAGAACCCGGGTTTTTCGTTGAATTGTTCCAGCCACTGTATTGTGACTTTCAATTCTTTATTTCTCAACGCAAATATGCTTGCAGGATGGAAATTCTGAACGGACGAAGTTACAATCATTTAATGCAATGGAGTGATGCGAGGATGATTATTAAGGAGGCGGAAAAAATTTCTTCAGAAATAATTTCTTCAGATAATGTATATCAGTATAAAACTCTCGTAGTGTCAACATCTCCAGCATATTGGCAAATTTAATCCTGAAGTGTGAGAACACTGCCATAAGGCGACACTAACCAATACTCAGACGTTATCTACCCACATTACACTTGACTATACAATTGTATATATCATTCTATGTTCAGGAGTTGTATATTGTATAGATTAAGCTTCAAGGGCGAAACGTATTCTCATTAAAATTTCCTAAATGTTGCACATGTGTCGGCTTTTATTATTATTATTATTATTATTATTAAAGATTCGCCGGTATTCTCCCGGCCCGGGCCTTTTCCAAGTGGTGGCCCGGCCTTGGCTCCCTCTTTAGGGAGTGTCTGAGACCTAAGTCTCCCATGGGAGGAGGCACAAGTACCCCCTCATCTTTGGGACCAATTGTCCCCTGGCCTAGCCACAAGCTAGGCCTCTCTGGTCTGCCATCCCCGCCCCAAGGGGCCTAATGGGAATGGCAGTCTTGTGAGCTGTAAGCTCTGGCTCGGGCACCTACCCTGCCCTAGAAGGGATGGGCATGGTGTCGTTTTAGATATTCAAGCATTTATTTTTTGTCAATCAAGAATTTCCTAATTTACATTACAAAATGACTATTTAATCCCTAGTAGCAATATACTCTTTAACAACAGTCTACTTTACCAGTATTATTAACAATAGCCTGTTTACCCTTAGATAACCTTAATAACAAAAGCTTTCCTCGTCTTGGTCAATAATAACTTATTTATCATTAATCAACATCAGTTTATTTCACAGCATTAACATAGGAATTTGAAAGCAAAGTTAGTCAGCCAAATGGCTGAGAGTTGAGTTTGTCAGACGTGTTCCTTGCATCACTGCAGAAGACGTACTGGCACGCTGGGACACCAAGACTCCAGCATCACCTGCAACACCAAGATGTGACGACAAGACAGAACGAAGAATACTTCGAGATGGAACCTGTGGGTCTACGGCCGGGGATCATCATTAAGAACCTCAGGTACATCCTGCTCTCCAAAGTCATCTCATTTGTCATCTTCTCCTCCTCCTTCTCCTCCTCCTAATCCTCCTCCTAATCCTCCTCCTAATCCTCCTCCTAGTCCTCCTCCTAATCCTCCTCCTCCTAATCCTCCTCCTCCTAATCCTCCTCCTCCTCCTCCTAATCCTCCTCCTCCTCCTAATCCTCCTCCTCATCCTCCTTCTCCTCCTCCTACTCCTCCCCCTTCTCCTCCTCCTACTCCTCCCCCTTCTCTTCCTCCTCCTCCTCCAACTCCCCCTCGCACTGGCTGGTAGACCACAATTCATTCCTATTTTTTTTTAGTTTAAACTTAGTCAAAATTCATCTGGAAGTGACAATACAATGAAGGAAATACAAGGCCAAGTGTAGGTGCATGTGCAGGTACAAGTGTAGGTACAAGTGTAGGTGCATGTACAGGTACAAGTGTAGGTACAAGTGTAGGTACAAGTGTAGGTACAAATGTAGGTACAAGTGCAGGTACAAGTGTAGGTACAAGTGTAGGTACAAGTGTAGGTGCATGTACAGGTACAAGTGTAGGTACAAGTGTAGGTACAAGTGTAGGTACAAATGTAGGTACAAGTGCAGGTACAAGTGTAGGTACAAGTGTAGGTACAAGTGTAGGTACAAGTGTAGGTACAAGTGTAGGTGCATGTACAGGTACAAGTGTAGGTACAAGTGTAGGTACAAGTGTAGGTACAAATGTAGGTACAAGTGCAGGTACAAGTGTAGGTACAAGTGTAGGTACAAGTGTAGGTACAAGTGCAGGTACAAGTGCAGGTACAAGTGTAGGTACAAGTGTAGGTACAAGTGTAGGTACAAGTGTAGTTACAAGTGTAGGTACAAGTGTAGGTGCATGTGCAGGTACAAGTGTAGGTACAAGTGTAGGTACAAGTGTAGGTACAAGTGTAGGTACAAGTGTAGGTGCATGTGCAGGTGCATGTGCAGGTACAAGTGTAGGTACAAGTGTAGGTACAAGTGTAGGTACAAATGTAGGTACAAGTGTAGGTACAAGTGTAGGTACAATTATAGGTACAAGTGTAGGTACAAGTGTAGGTACAAGTGTAGGTACAAGTGCAGGTACAAGTGTAGGTACAAGTGTAGGTACAAGTGTATGTACAAGTGTAGGTACAAGTGCAGGGTTTCAAGGAGGCACAAAGTCCGGTCAAGTGCAGGTACAAGTGCAGGTAAAAAGTCGGTACAATGAGGTACAATGTAGGGACAAGGTAGTACAATGTGGTACAAATTAGGACACGTGCAGGGACAATGTAGACAAGTGTTGGGAAAGTGTAGGTATAAGTGCAGGGAAAGTGCGGTAAAGTGTAGGTACAATGCAGGACAAATGCAGGTACAAGGTAGGGACAAGGTAGGTACGTGCAGGGAGCATATAGGGACAATTGGGAGGTACAAGTGTGGTACAAGGTAGGTACAAGTCAGGTATAAATGCAGGTACAAGTGCAGGTACAAGTGTAGGGCAAGTGCAGGTACGTCAGGTCAAGTAGTACAACGCAGGTACCCCGTCCGTACTGTGAAGCTAAGAAAAGGTGTAGATAATTTGTAATACCATGTAAGCACCGGGGTACTTACAGATGCCTGGTACGAGGTACAATAGGTAGTCATACTGACAGAGGGCACGACCCGGGAGTCAAGACAGAGGGAACGACCAGGGAGCTACTGCAGAGGTACAAAAACCCCGGGAGTCATACGACAAGGAACACGACCAGGTTATATACTGAAGAGGTACACGGCCCGTAGTCATACTGACAGAGGAACACGACCAGGGACATACTGACAGAGGAACACACCAGGGGAGTCATACTGACAAGGACAACCAAAGCAGTCATACTGACGAGGTACACGAACCCGGTAGTCATACTGACAGAGGAACACGACCGGAGCATACTGACAAAGGGACCGACCAGTAGTCATACGACAGAGGAACACGACCAGGGAGTCATACTGACAGAGGTACAGACCACGCATCATCTGACAAGGGACACGACCCAAACATACTGACAGAGGTACACGAAGCAGTGAACTGACAGGGTACCACCAGGGACAACTGACAGAGGGACACGACCAGGGAGTCATACTGACAGAGGTCAGACCCGGCGTCAACTGACGAGGTCACGACCAGGTAGTATACTGACAGGAAACGACAAGGGTCATATGACAGAGGGGACACGACCAGGTAGTCATACTGGGCAGAGGTACACCCAGGAGCATACTGACAGAGGGACCGACCAGGGGAGTCATATGACGAGGTACCCGACCAGGTAGTCATCTGACGAGGGCACGACCCGGTGTCATATGACGAGGTACACACCAGGTATATATGAGAGAGGGACAAGACCAGGTAGTCATATGCGAGGTACAGGGCCAGGCAGTCATACTGACAGAGGGACACGACCCGGTATCATATGACAGAGGTACACGACCAGGGAGTCATACACACAGAGGGAAGACCAGTCAGTCATTTCTGACAGAGGTACACGACCAGGCAGTCATACTGCAGAGGGACACACCCGGGAGTCATACTGACAGAGGTACACGACCAATTCATACGACAGAGGTACACGTCAGGTAGTCATCGACAGAGGTACACACCAGGCGTCATACTGACAGAGGTACAAAAGACCAGGTATCAACTGACGAGGTAACGCCAGGTATCATATGACGGGTTCACGACCAGGCTCATACTGCAGAGGGCACGACCAGGCAGTCTTACGACAGGGTACACACCATATCATACGACCAGAGGGACACGACCCCCTAGTCATACTGACAGAGGTACACCCCCAGGTTTCATACGCACGGTACCCCAGGCATCATATGACAAGGTACACACCAGGTAGTATCTGAAAGAGGGACACGACCAGCAGTCAACGACGAGGTCACGACCAGGTAGTCATCTGACAAGGTACACGACCAGGTAGTCATACTGACAGAGGGCACGACCATTGTATACTGACAGAGGTAACGACCAGGGAGTCTACTACAAGGTACAAAGACCAGGGAGTCATACTGACAGAGGAAAACGCCCAGGTAGTATAAAGACAGAGGTACACGACCAGGGAGTCAACTGACAGAGGTACACGACCCGGTATCTACGACAGAGGGACAGGACCGCAGAAAACGAAAAAGGGGACACGACCAGGTAGTCAACAAAGGGTACAGGACCAGGCATCATTTCTGACAGAGGTAAACCCCACCTGTAGTCTACTGACAGAGGTCACACCAGGGATCTACTGACAGAGGTCACGACCAGGTATCATGCTGACGAGGTCACACCAGTAGTCATCTGACAGAGGAACGACCAGGGAGTCATATGACAGAGTACACGACCAGGCGTCAATGACAGAGGTACACGACCAGGCAGTCATACTGACAGAGGTACACACCCGGCTCATTGACAAGGTACACGACCACAGTCATACTGAAGAGGTACAGGACCCGGTAGTCATATGAAAGGTACCGACCAGGCTATATGACGAGGTACACGACCAGGCTCTACTGACAGAGGTACACACCCGGGGTCATACGACAGAGGACACGACCAGGGGTCATACTGACAGAGGTACACGACCAGTTTTATAGATGAGGTACACACCAGGAGTCATACTGACAGAGGTACACACCAGGTAGTCATACTGACAGAGGTACACGACCAGGCAGTCATACTGACAGAGGTACACGACCAGGCAGTCATACTGACAGAGGTACACGACCAGGTAGTCATACTGACAGAGGTACACGACCAGGTAGTCATACTGACAGAGGTACACGACCAGGGAGTCATACTGCGAGGTTTCACGACCAGGGATCAACTGACAGAGGACACGACCAGGAGTCATACTGACAGAGGTACACGACCAGGCAGTCATACTGACAGAGGTTTCAAAAACCCGTAGTCATCTGCAGGGTACACGACCAGGCAGTCATACGACAGAGGTACACGACAGGCAGTCATACGACAAGTACCGAAACCCTTTTTAATATCACAAGTTAATAAAGAAGAATTCTTTTGTTTTTTCTTTCGACCTTAAAGATGTTGCCAGAAAAAACTTTTCTAATTATTAATAATGTCTCTGATTATAGACAGCACAGTCAATTATATATTTTTTTTAATAAGGGAAATTCTTTGTGTTTTAAGGTTTAGGGCGTAGGTATGTATATTTGCATAGTAGTTAAGGGGGTGGGGGGGTTGGGGTGTTTTTGTAATAAAGGGTGTGGGGGTAGAGGGTTTTTTTTTAGATAAATTGGGGGGTGGAGGGGGGGTGTTGTTTTTTAATATAATTGGGGTGGGATGGGGTGTTGGTGATATAAGTGTGTGGTGGGGGTTTAGGGTGTTTTTGTAGATATAAGGGGTTTTGGAGGTATAGGTGTTTTTTAAAATAAGTGTGTGGTGGGTAGAGGGGGTTTTTGTAGAATAAAGGGGGTGGTTGGGATGAGGGTGTTGTTGTAGATATAAGGGTGTGGTAGGTATGGGTGTTGTTTTTAGTATAAGGGTTGGTAGGTAGAGGGTTTTTTTTGTGATTAAGGCTGGGGGAGGTATGAGGGGGTTTTTTGTAGAATAAGTTGTGGAGGGAGAGGGTTTGTAGTATAAAGGGGGGGGGTAGGTTGGTGTGTTGTTGTAAATAAGTGTGGGGGTATGAGGGTGTTGTTGTGATTTAAATTTTGTTTGGGTATGAGGGTGTTTTTTTTAATAAAGGCGTGGTGGGTTGGGGTGTTGTTGGAAAAAGGGGGGGGTTTGGATGGGGTGTTTTTGTAGATATAAGGCTGTGGTAGGTAGGGGGTTGTTTTTAAAAAAAGGGGTGGTAGGTTGGGGGTGTTTTTGTGATTAAGGGTGTGGTGGTATGAGGGGGGGTTTTTTTTTTTTAAATTGGGGGGGTGGGTTGGGGGTGTTGTTTTGTATAGTGGTGGTGGGGATAGGGTGTTGTTGTAGATTGGTGGGTGGGGATGGGGTTTTTTGTAGATTAAATGTG